ACAGAAGGTGAGGGAGAGAGAGAGAGAGAAGCTTAGCATGAGACAAAGGATCAGAAAGAACAACGATGGCAGGGACAACAGTAACAGCAAGCAAAGAAAATCAACAAAGAAAAATAAAACAGATACAACGCCCACCCCCACACACAAATAAAAAACACCTGTCCTTTAAAAAAAAAAATAATAATAATAGACAAATAAATAAATAACAGCAAAACGACCCACATACGGGATTCCCTCTTACCTTGCCGGGGATGCCTCTGTGTGTAGAATTCCCTTGCCAGAACCTCCTGACGTAGTGCTCTATGTGTCCCACGGCAGAGGCACCGTGCTGGAAGCCAGGGTGCCAGCAGAGGGACCCGTAGCCGAACACCCACAGGCTTCTTGAGGCGTCTTGGCTGCCCATTCTGTCTTCTTCGGGTTCTCTTGGCGTCTTCTGGTCTGCGAAGGCGTCTGTTTTAGTTGTGTTTTGGTCTTTGTTGGGGGAAAGAAAAAAATTACGCTAGATTGGCTTTTGGATCGGATGGACAGGTAGCAATATGGTCCTGTTTTCCCTGTTCCCTCTGTCCTTCACTCTTCTCTACGTAGCGATAACCACACACTGTTGTTATTGTCTCGCTCTTTCTCTTGGTCTTCCAACCTCCCCTTCTCACGCAACAACAACCTGGCACTGCGGTGTGTATGGGCCTTCAACCTCCCATATTTTTCACAACATTTCCCTTCTTTTTTTTCCCTTTTGCAGATTTCGCCTTTCCCGATAGACCGGCCGATAGACAGCGCACTACAAAACCATGGCAGCCTTCGTGTGGTGTTTTCCCGAGCTCCACTATCCCTGCGCTCTAAACCGAGTGTGTTAATAGTCCTGTAACACACGGACGCCAGGGAGACGACCAGCGATCAGCTGTCTTAAACCCGACCTATTTCCTGGCATCGTGCAACGGGGTTGTCGCGTGGCGGATTTTTGGAGTCCTCGCCTTTTTTCTCTCTCTCGTAGATGGATTTCTCTCCCTCTCTTCTCATTTATCGCTGTTTGTGGCTATTCATTTTTGCGACGAAGTTGAATATTTGATTCTTTCTCTAGACGGCGTTGATATTAAGGCATTATTGACGAAAATTTTAATAATGAGAAGAGACCGAAAATAGCACCGTTAGGCAACTCGCTCCCGTTCTTGGGTTTTCCTGTCGGTAGGCTGACGTCACATACGCAGGCGCCTCTCGACCAATGGGAACGCGAGATACGCTCGACCCTGGTTCTTATTGGCCGAACCAGAGTATCACTGAGTATGCGCATGATGCAATCCTTACTCGGACTTTCATTGAAGGAGCCTCACTTACCTCCGCTCATCAATAGATTAATAAGCGATGAATAAATGATAATTGCGTGTGGCGCTGTCTACGTGCAGACAATTACCTCTAATTAGATAGGAGAGGAAGAACGCACGTGAAAAGACAGAGAGCGCGACGGAGAGGCGAGGACAGGGAGGGAAGCCTTTTCAACGAGAAACCGAAAAATAAAAACAGTAAGAGTACTTTCGTTTTTTTTAATTCTTCTTATTTTCTTCTTTCTCTCTCTCTCTCTCTCTCTCCTTCCTCGTTTCCTTTCCTTCCTTCCTTCATATATAATTTTCCAAAATGAATACCTGGCAACCCTCTTCCTTTGCAAACGTTGGCGGGGAAGGGGGGGAGGGGGGGAGGGGAAGCAGGGGGAGGAGGGACGGAGGAGGGAGAGACGAGGGACCGAGCACGCGCAGAACGTTCTCCCTTCCCTCCCTTCCCTCCCTCACCTCACCTACCCCCCCCCCCTTCGTCCTTCCTTTCTTCCATAGTGACGAAATTCCTTCACAGAGATCAAGGTTGTGGTTTTCGTTCATTAAAGTCATGAAGAAATAACTGGCGAAAACAGGAAAAATCGGAACACGAGACTTTTCTTTCCTCTCGTCGAAACGTTTTTCTCTCTCTGGCTTGTCAATTGTTTTTGGAATCTTCTGACCATCACATGGAAAGACAGAAAAGAACAGAGAGAGAGAGAGAGAGAGAGAGAGAGAGAGAGAGAGAGAGGGAGGGAGGGAGGGAGGGAGGGAGAGAGAAAGAGGGAGGAAGAGAGGGGAGGAGGGAGTTAGGGAGGGAGAGAGGGAGGGAGGGAGGGAGGGAGGGAGGGAGGGAGAGAGAGAGAGAGAGAGAGAGAGAGAGAGAGAGAGAGAGAGAGAGAGAGAGAGAAAGAGGGAGGAAGAGAGGGGAGGAGGGAGGGAGGGAGGGAGGGAGAGAGAGAGAGAGAGAGAGAGAGAGAGAGAGAGAGAGAGAGAGAGAGAGAGAGAGAGAGAGAGAGAGAGAGAGAGAGAGAGGAAAGAGGGAGGGAGGGAGAGAAGGAGAGGAGAGAGAGACAGAGACAGAGACAGACAAACAGACAGACAGCGAGAGACAGAGAGATGTATTTGTGAGAGAGGTATAAAGGGAGAGGGAAGTAAGGAGGGAGAGGGAGATTTAGGAGGAGAGGGAGGGGGGGAGGGAGAGAAAGATAAAGAAAAAGAGAGAGGAAGAGGAGAAGAGGTGGGAATTCCCGGATTTTTTACCTTTCTCTCTCTCTCTCTCTCTCACTCTCCCTCCGTCCCTCCGTCCGTCCGTCCGTCCCTCCCTCCCTCCCTCCTTCCCTCCTTCCCTCCTTCCTTCCTTCCCTCCCTCCCTCCCTCCCTCCCTATATCCCTCCCTATATCCCCCCCTCCCCCTTCCCCCTTTCCCTCTCCCTCCCCTTTCCCCCTCTCCCTCCCCCCCCTTTCAACGTGACCATCAGCACCTGGCACCGAATCCAAGCCACCTATCCACCTATCCAACTATCCACTTATCCACCTCCTTGCTCCACTTATCCCCTCCACTTGCAACAGCATCCGGCGCCACTCCACCTCGAAAAAGACACGAGAATATGTCACATCGATTTATTCGCTCTAGATTTATTTCTGTCTGTGGCTCGGTCCGTCTCTGTGTCTGACTGTCTCTTGGGGAGGGGGAGAGGGAGAGAAGGAGGGTGGGAGGGAGGGAAAGGGAGGGAGGGAGGGAATGGGAGGGAGGGAGGGAGGGAAGGAGAGAGAGAGAGAGAGAGAGAGAGAGAGAGAGAGAGAGAGAGAGAGAGAGAGAGAGAGAGAGAGAGAGAGAGAGAGCGAGAGAGAGAGAGAGAGAGAGAGAGAGAGAGAGAGAGAGAGAGAGAGAGAGAGAGAGAGAGAGAGAGAGAGAGAGAGAGAGAGAGAGAGGGAGAGAGAGAGGGAATGAGGGAGTGAGAGAGACAGAGAGCGAGAGAGAGAAATAGAGAAAGAGAGACAGAGACAGAGATAGAGACGGAGACAGAGACAGAGACAGAGACAGAGACAGAAACAGAGACAGAGACAGAGATTATAATTAAGGGAAATTCAGATATTAGGAAATAGAGAGTACGGGGGGGAGGGGGCAACAAAAAGAAGGAGGGAGGGAAAACAAACAGACAGCAGACACAAAGGGAAAAGAAAAGTGGATTGAAAATGTGTGGACGAGAAAAAGTGTATGAAAAAATAGAGAGGGAAATAAGATGCTCGGAAGAGAAATAGAGACGTAAAATAGGGAAAAAAGGGAATTTTAGGGGAATGAATCCAAATTAGTAGTAGAGAGGAAAGACACCTTAACGTCCCCCTCCTCCGCCTTCCAAAGGGGAAAAAAACCACCACCCCCAACAGAAAAAAAAAAAAAGGAGGGAATATGAAAAAGAAAAGAAAAAAAAAAAAAAAAAAAAAAAAAACAAAAAAAAACAAAAAGGAAAAAAAAAAAAAATGTTATTAATTTTCAACATTTTATTTCCACCAATTTCTTTTTATATTTTCTAGTATACTCCCTATCGGAGAAAATCATACGTTGCCTTTATTATTTATTAAAAAAAATTTAGTATTAAAATAAAATCAATAAAAAAAAAGATAATTTAAAACTATATATTTTATTGTTTTCATTTTATATGATGTACACACACACACACACCACACACACACACACCACACACCACACACACACACACACACACACACCACACACACACCCCCCCCCCCCCACCCACACCACCACACTGTCTGTGTGGTGTATGTTCGTGTGTGGTATGGTTGTTTGTATAGTGTTTCTTTTTGTGTCTTGTTTGGTTTAGTTGTTGCTTGGTTGGGTTTATAATTGTTTATGTGTGTCGGCCTTCGTTCAGATGTGTGGCGTTTGTTTGTGTCGTTGTGTGTGTGGGCGGCTCTCGTTTGTGTATGTGTGTTGTGTGTGTTTGTCTGTGTCTTGGTATGTGTTTTGTGATGGTTGTCTGTTTGTGTCCCGTGTGCGTAGGCCATTTGTGTATGTTGTTCAGTCTGTTTTGTTATCCTGTGGTGGTTATTACATTTTTGGTGTGTTCGTTGTGAGTATTTAGTGTTGAGGGCATAGGTGTGGTGTTTGTATACATATATATACAAGCAAATACACACACAATATACATATCTATATATATATTATATATATATACATATATATATATATATAATATATATATATATATATATACACATTATATATATATATAATATTATATATTATATATTATATATCTATATATATATCCCATATATATCATATATAATATATGATTAGATATATATTATATATATATATATGTGGCTTGTAGTTGTATTATATTATGATGTGTTAATTATATATATAATAATTCTATATTATGATTCTATGTCTGTGTGTTGTGTGTGTGTGTGTGATGTTGTGTGTGTGTTGTGTGTGTTGTATAATATATATATATATATATATAATATCTATATATATATATATATATATATATATATATATATATATATTGTGAGTGCTGTGTTGTGGTGGTTGTGTGTTTGCTGTGTGTTGTTTGTTGTTTGTGTTCGTGTGTGTGTGTTCCTTGTGTCGTTGTCTTTGTGTGTGTCCTGTGTGTGTGTCTGTGTTGTTGGGTCGTTTGTGTGGTGTCGTGGAATATATAACATATATATGGTGTAATATATATATAATACATACTATATAATATATATTAATATTATATAATATATACGTTATATATATATATATATATATATTATAATATATATCATATAGTACACATATTACAATAATATGTCACCTACAAATATGATATATTAAGATGCATGCACGTGCGTGTGTGTGTTGTGTGTGTGTGTGTGTGTGGTGTGTGTGTGTGTAGTGTGGTGTGTGTGTGTGTGTGGGTCTTGTGTAGTGTGTGTGTGAGAGAGAGAGAGAGAGGAGAGCGAGAGGTCGAATGAGAGAGAGGAGAGATGAGAGAGAGAGAGAGAGCGGAGCAGAGAGAGAGAGAGAGAGAGAATGATGATAGACGAGGAGAGTGAGAAGATGAGAGCGACGAGAAAGAGAATGAGAGAGAGAGAGAGAGAGAGAGAGAGAGAGAGAGAGAGTGAGAAAGATGGAGAGAGATGGAGAGAGATGGAGACAGACAAGAAAGACAAGAAAGAAAGGAAGGAAGAAAGAGAGAAAAGTAGAGGGCAAAGAGGGAAGTCAAGGCTGACAAATTAACATATCAGTGAATGTAAAGAAACAGAGATTGTTGGTGAGATTAAAACACAAATAAGAAAGAAGAGATATATAGACAGACTTATACATATATTTGTCTATATGTAATGTTATATTATAGTATATATATACTATATCTATTATATATACTATATATATATATAGTATATATATATATATATATATCATATATATATATATATATATATATACACGCACGTCTTATGATGCATATACATATGACATGTATATGTAATATGTATTATGAGATATATATATATAATATAATATATAATATATATATATATATATATATAATAATATGCAGATATTATGTAATATAATAGTTATATATAT